TGATATATATGTGCATAGATATTACACATTATATATTTTTAAAACATTCTTACATTAACATTTTGCTACTGGGTTCATTTTTCCCATTTCATAAATGAAAAAACTAAGAATTAAAATATGTAATAGCATAATACATGGGGAGTCAAGCATGCAGCACTCACTGTGTCCCTACCTATTGAGTGCCCAACACTATTATACTATGTGTTTGGAATACAACAAGTAGCAAAACCCTTCAGAAACCTTGCCATAAAGGAGTTACACTCTAATAGGGAAGATGGACATTAATCAAAAATCACACAGATATATGAAATCTTAGAACTGAAATAAGATTAGAAAGAAAAGTATTTGATATTATGCTTATGGTTTGGCCAAGTCAGACACAATGCAGTCACTCTATAGCATCACTAGAACTTGAACTTTAGACACGATTTTAGAATTACTCTAGAATATTGCATTTTTATCCACTGACTAAAGTTGCATTCTTTGCCATTCTTGACTACATTCAGAGTATCCACATTGAGGTGCGATATTCTACCATGCAAATATTTAGTGAACCTGGGGAAGGAAAGCAAACCATAATTGATGCATAGGGTATATGGACTGGGAGGGAATTGGAGGAAAAAGGAGAGGAAAACCCATTTTGTGCTTCTCATCTCAGGTTTCAAGAAGCCCAAAAAACTGACTGCCCTAGAGGCTAAGACGACAGCAACCTTGAGAAGCTTTATTATAAGACATAATTAAAAACCAAATAGTCATGAGACCTCTGACAGATTCATCCAGATAGCTAGCTGAATTGAAGCCTTTTGTTTGTTTGACTTTCTACCCCATTACGCTCAATCCTTGGATGGAACCTGACTTTCTTGGCATAGATACCACACAACAGTTGGCTATTGAGATCCATTGTTTTTTTTTTTTTCTTCTCTGCCCCAAATCAATTTTCTTAAAGAACCAAAATTTCTGACTTCTATCTCCAAACGCAAATACTCAAAACTTCAAATATCCATGTTTACTCCTTATGATTTGAATACTAACTGCTGTTGTGAGAGGATACCATGGTCAGAAGACCTGCATTTCAACCTGCTAATTACCAGATGGTAAAAGATAAATTAGCTTCATCTCTCTAAACTTCAGATTCCTCATCTTTAAAACAGGACTACATAGCACCAATATTCTAGAATTGTTGTGAAGTTTAATTGATATATACATTTGAAAATGCTTACAGCTTACATGTTTTCTGAATGTCAATTTCCTATAATCTTAACATTGAAAATTTTGGGTGTGTAGTGCTGAATTTTTTTTTTTTTAGTGTTAGATAACTTCAGCCATAGTGTATTGAGAACAACTACCATTTTCCACATATAGAAAGCCTTCTTCCTCACACTGAAAAGACTAGAAATATAATTATAATGCAGAGCCTATATTGTTTATTATTATTCCTGACCCAGAAAGACAGAGAGGGAACAATAATCCCAAAATATTGAGTGAAGTTAGATTTATATATAAAATGAATAAGGTACGGAACAGCTTCTCCATTTATTTTTTGCAATCTTAACAATTGGTACTCATGGCTATGTGGTCAGATTTTCTATAGCGATGTTGCTATAGGTTCTTCTGGTCATCCTTGATAACTACAGCCTGCAGGAGATTAAGACTGTAAGAATTTCATGAGTCTGAAATGTAGTATCTCTAGTTATTAGCATGCTTTCCATGTGCTACTTTTGACTGACACTAAAAAATATAGGGGGTCTATTCTAATTCAGAACTAGTTAGTGGGTCGGGCTGTGTCACTTATGAGCTGGCAGAATCTGCTGGCAAAGCAAATAGCCTGCAGTTTACAGATTTATGAGACATTGGCAAGAGACAAAGGAAGAAAAAGAGAAATGGTCCTCGAAATGGAGACAAACTTCAATTGGTGTCAGAAGGCAGAGGCCAGCAGAGTCTACAGTAATAGAAGGATCTATAGCCACATTCCCTGTGGTGAAAATGCAACGAAGAAGAGTGACCAGGTATTTCCAAGTAAGCACCACATGCTGCTAGAGAAAGGGATACCATGTCTAACTCCTAACTCAGTAGAAAAAAAAAATTTTTAGAAAAAAAAGGCTATAGAACAGCATCTTTCATTCTGTAAGTCAATATGAGAATGATTCTTTTTGTAGAAAGTATCTTGGAATAATCTGTTTCAAAAAGAAATGTCATCAATTAAAGAACATTTTTATTATGTGCTTTTAATCAGATTAAGGACATACCTACTTCCAGGTGTGGCTCAAATTTCTACAACCAATAACTCAGGGTGGGTGTGTTTATCTATAGTAAATGCCTCTTTCCATATCTGACTCCTTTGCTTGACTTTGACCTTCTCAAGGGCAGAGTTCATGTGCTGCCTGTCTAGTCCCTAATCAGTCAGCATAAAACTCATCTTTATAACAATGGAATGGATATTTTCTGAATTGATTTTAATATTTAAGAAAGTCCCAAACCCAGATCCTTTCAAGAAAATTACAGTACATCCTCTGGAGATGTACATCATCTCAGAAGTCACTTTCCCTCACAGTCAGCTTTGCAAAGGCCCTTCCAGTCCTCTACCAGGTAAAAGTAGGGTCTTGAGTGATATCTGAGGAGTCAGCTTTAAACTTCTCTGATAAGTAAGCTTTGGACTTCTCTGATAATCTCAGACAGGTAGTTCCCCTGAGAAAACAAAACCCTCCAGGGAAGATGTTTTTCATTTTTGTTGCCCATAATCCCCTGTGTGGCTGATCTGACTAACTGGGGTTGGAGCGCTAAGTGACACTCGGTTAAAGGTACACGCAGTACTGCTGGCCAGAGGTCCAAAACAGGCTTTCCCAAACAGAGCATGGATGCACTGTGTGACTCAGCAACATCTGAAGCTTTTCCTCCAGATATGTTTAAGGGCAGGGAATCAAAATCCAACTGAGAAAGACAACCATTAGGAGTATAAGCCAATAGCAGGATGGAGTGTCTGAAGTTAACATGGAGTTTCTGGGCTAGACCCAGAGTCTAATCATTGAAGATCTGATCAACTCCTTCTTAATTTTTTAGCACCACAAAAATCTTGTTTTTTCAGGGAAGGGGCACAATAGGGGTTAGCTGTCAAGGGGGTTCCTAAGTGTTCTGGAATGTATCTACAATAGAAATGTTGGCAAATTGACTTGAGTCATAATACTTAAGCTGGCAGGACAACAAAACTGTGATTTTTATGCCTAATGTATACTTCTTAGATACAAACAAAGTTATTAATATAATGCACAAAATTATGCAATAAATACTATGGGACATTAGAGCAAATTTTTATAGTCTTGAAATATGAGAAAGAGGAGAAAAAGCTGCCAGACTCATGATATCTGATGCCCTATTTTCTTTTATCAGAGTTGGGCATCATTAGATTTATTGCTTAAGCTGAACTTTGTTCAATATTTATTCAACTCAAAGTTCTGTTTATCTGATTAAAATTTACGTTTTCAATAAGTCAGATTCAGCTATTATATGAACTACAAGTTATTCCCAGAGTAGTCAAGTATGACTACTTATTTCAATCTGAATTTAACTATAGTATGTTTTATCTAAATCCAGGTGCAAAGTTACATAACACATTTCAAAGGAGTTCACCTTACACTCTCAGGGTATGCCATTTATTAGTATCTTCATTTAGTACTAAACTGAACATAATGAATGAAAAGGGTAATCTAGCATGATATTTAAACTATGAATTTACATAGCCCATATTGTCATCATCACGTCTCTTTCACAATAAATCTGGGGTTAGTCAGGGAGAAGTTAACATCTCATTGGCCTCCTCATTGCAGAAGAATTCATGTTTAGAGAGAAAACATCTTAAAGAGGCCACTGAAGAGGAACTTAATAACACCTGTGTTGGGAGACGATCACCTGGACTCTATTGGCCTTTGTGCTACTTTGTGCCTAAATACCACTATAAAGGTCTAGGTATGATTCAAATATCAGAGAAAGTATATTCACATGGTCTTACCTTTATAGGAGCTTAAAACAATTCAATTTTTTGTTTTGAAAAAAAAATCTTATTTACATGGAAGCTGCTGGAAGGAACAATGCAGGAAAAGAATACAGAGAAGGAAGAGTCATTTAAGGAGAAACAGGAAAAAAGAGACAGGTCTTAAGGTGGGCCTGCATAAGAGGAAACTGGCAGAAAGAGAAGGTGTATAAGAGACAGGGAGAAGATTAAGAAAGAAAACAAAGAATGAGTGGATATGACAGGTGCTGACATGAAGCCATGCTGCTTGAGAATAAGGGTCTCTGGTGCTAAGTGTGGAGAGAAGTTGTTGAGTAAGTCAGGGTAGAATCAAATTAAATTGAATCCCATATTGAAGCCCAGAGAGGTTTAAGCACTTTCTTGGGCACATTCTGAAAACATGGTAGAGATGTGACTCAGCTTTTAAACACTATACTACTGTCTCTTCCTAGGTTTAATGTCCACCCAGGAAATTGTCCATCTGGGTGTTCCATGGCAATAGTAAAGTCATGTTGATTTTGGTCTTAGAATATCATATCATAGTTGGAAGGTTAAGTTTCATGACATTTGCCCAATTACGTTACCTGAACCAGCCTAGACATACGCTAACCAGCTTGCCTAGAAACCATCAGTTTCTACTTAAGTGGCATCTTCTTATCTACTTCCCTTTTCTCTGTCTTGACTTTAATAGATGAGTTACTATCACTATGCTGTGTTTAATTTACTATAAAACAGTGCATCAATGGGGCCTGTGGATATCCAAGCTCTGTTTGTTATGTAGCACAAATTATCCCACAGGAACAGTCCGCAGCTGTCAGGCAGTCTCGCCTCCTTCCAGTCTACCAATGCAAGGAAAATATAATTACATTGTTATCATCTGTATGCTAACTTCAGTGTTATCAAACTGCCTATGGGTTGGCATACCTACCCCATGTAAGGTAAATGTGAAACTCATGTTCACGATACATATTTACCTAGACTTTATTTTGTCTTCTAGGCTCTTCAATGGCCAACAAGGAATTATTATTCAAAATTTTAGCACAAGATCCATTCTCACTGTTACCAACGTGACACAGGAGCACTTCGGCAACTATACTTGTGTGGCTGCCAACAAGCTCGGCACAACCAATGCAAGCCTGCCTCTTAACCGTAAGTAATACAGTGCTGAAGAAGTGCTCCCAGGGCCTCCCAGCGCCTATACAGTGGCATAGATGAAACCTAAGAGTGGAATGTACATTGTAGAACTCATTCTGATGTGACACATCCCTTACACACAGAAAACCTTGTCCCCAAACAATAGGGACATGTGAAATTTTCTAATTCCTACAGGAGTCTACATGTGCATAGAAAAATATCTTAGCGCTAAGGAAAAAAAATACATAAATAATAGGGCTAACAGAAATGTGACTTCTGACTGAGGACAGCTGCTTTAATAGGGTTTTGTTTGTATTTTGGGGTTTTTTAAAAAATGTGTTATCTTGAAGCATAAATTATTTATGGCTTGCTTTACTCTTGGTTAGTTTTCTTTAGACATTCATCTTTGGATAGCCAGAATTCCATAAGCCATAAATAAGATGAAATAGTAAGTAAGTAATGGTGGACAAAATATTTAATCCATACAGATAACATTTTTACTCAAGCCTGTATTTTGGAATATAGCTTAAGAGCTCACTAAAATAAATATTTCATTGCTAGTGTGTGTTAGTTCCTGAAAACTAGAAATGAATAAGAGAGCAAACACAAGGACCTGTTAAAAGGAGAGAACCTGATACTGTTTTCCTCTTCGATTAATTTTAGTGTGCTTTAGAAGCCAAGTAAGCAAAAAATGGTTGCAACTATAAAATATTTCTAATTTTCAAAGTGTGTGTTTCTTAAAAAGCTCAGAGAAAACTAGAGCACCCTGTTCAATCCCTCAAAGTTATCTGAATTACCCTTTTATTTATCTTTAATACTTTACAGTAACCTGACGTGTTTATTTATATCAGCATCCTGGGATAGTAAGCTATCTCTGAAAAATACACATGCTCTGCAGTTCATCACAGAAATGATCTTTTCCATTTTGTAGAAACAGGGATAGAATATATAATGTTCCTACTATGTAAAATATATTATCGTAAGTTTCATGATTTATGAACTTTGAATTTCCATGTCTTAGATATGAAATAAAATATATGAGTTTATATCACAGTTTTTTTAAATTTTAGCTTGATATTTCTTAATATTAAATTTTGAAAGACATTGTTTGCCATGCAATAACTATAGTGTAATATGCTTGCTCTAGTGTCGTCCTTGAAAATGATTTACTTAGTATGATTATAAATAAGGGAAACTATTGAAGATGTTATAAAACAGTATGAATTCCAATTTAATATAAATATTGATACTTCTTTGGTATATTATTAATATTTTACATAGTTTAAATATTCAAGAGCCTAAAAGAATCAATGAATTTAAAAGGCTAAAAGAAATTTAAGGCTTTATAACATATTAACTTTTTGCTATTTAAATTTCTAAATCACATCCTGATTGTTCAAAACTGAACAATCAATGAATGTGACAAATTAAGAACAAATGTCACTTATTTAAAATGATTATTTTATTCTAACAATCTTAACATTGTCATCTGAAAATAATATGCTGCCAAAAGGCTTCTAAATGTGGAATATTTAGGGTGGACTCTCATAATCTCTACCACTGATTTTCTGTCCATTGAGATGCAGTACATGCCAGTAAACTTCTTCTTAAATTTTGTTAGTAAAGTCAAAATGTACAAATCTTGTGTGAAGTTACAAACATAGCCATGATATTTGATGAAATTCCTATTTATTTAGAACTCTCATATGCACCTTTGAAGTACTCATTGCACTAAGCATTTCTATTTGTACTATAATAATTATTGTATTTATTTTTTGTGGTGCTGCGATTAAACCCAGGGCTTCACATACACCAGGCAGGTACTTTAGCACTGTGCTATATCCCTACCCCCACTGTTATTTTTGTATAGTTTTAATCTTTCCACCAAACCATGAGTTCTTTGAGAAGAATCAATGTCTGATAAACAGTTTTATCTCCCCTACCAACAAGCACAGTGCTTGCTATTTAATAGGTGATTAGTAAATATTTAGTGAATAAATGAATTAAACACTAAATAGTTGAATTAATGGATTAATGAGTAAATGAAGGAGTAAACTGTGTTTCAGCTACAGAATGTGTATTTGCAACCTCCAGAGATATAAGGCAATATCACTGTAATTACAAACAACACTTGTTAGCTTACTCTGGGTCTATTCTAATTTCTTTATTTGGATTTGTTTAATTCTCATATAACTTAAAGTTAGATTCTATAATTCCCCTCTTACAGATAAGGAAACTTACAGAGAGAATATAAATATGGCCAAAGGCCAAGTGGTTGGTAAGTGACAAAGTGAAAACTTGAATTCTGATAGTCTGACTGCAGAGTCCAGGCTTTTAACTAATACACTTCACTCTTTATGAACATAAAACCATCAAGAAAGTCAGAGATAATTTGTATCATTTACAACATGCTCTTCAAAACGTAAATCTCTATGTATAAGATAATTTTCCTTTCTGTAGGTTTTATCAACTTTCCTTTAATAATTAGGATGTTATTTAATATATGAAAATTTACTTTAAAAATAAATGTCCACATCTTCTTCCATAAGAACTCCTCTCACGTCTTCAAAGTCTCTGAAGGAGAAAAGTGCTCAACCTTTAGAAAAATGATCCAACACTAGAAACAAGTCCTAAACTGATCCAACATTGACCTGTGACCTTCTAAACAACCTCTATAATTTGTTACAGGTCAATGCTTTCTATAGGTTATGGGGTGTGTAATGCCAACTTGCCCAGTCCTTGTTCAGGAAAAAGGAGGTAGACACCAAGGGACCCACCATCTGTATAGATAATGTTATTTGGCATATGTTTTGAATAAGAAAATTTTCATGTTTTTGTGACTTGTGTCCTTGAACAGTTAATAAGTCAAAGTCAGGGTAACTGGCAGTGTAGGCTACCTGCTATAATGCTTATTAGTAGCAAGCACTCAAACTTCAACAAAGTGGTAGTCATTAGGAATCAGCTGTTCATTCATGCTACTTAGGACAAACCCTGAGACTATTACAACTATTACAATCTACTTCTGGCTTGTAATAACTCACATTTTCTAGATCATTGAAAAGATAAATGGCAAGTTGCAGGTCATAATTAAGATGATCACAAAGAAAACACAACACTTTAGAATGTGTGAATGGGGGGTATGAGTGCATTTCACATAGTGAGAGTCCAGTAGGTCTTGGTTGATCACACACCTCACACATCAGTTGTGTGTGTGCCTTCAGTTAACTCATTTGAAAAATGATGGGGATAATAACAACCCCCTTTCAAGATATCAACTACTGGGGATGTTTCATTTCATACACTTATCATTCAGCCTGGGACAAAGAAAGGCATTAAATATTGTAAACCATTGTACTTGAAGTAATGTACCAGATCTAGCTTCTAATTTAATCCCATCCTTTGCTTAGTGCATTAACCAGACTTTGTGGCAATAATTCAAGATTAAATATGATACCTGCAGTGTAGCAGTTTGGATAGGAGATTCAAAAAGATTTAAGGCAGAACCAAAATAATTCTATTTTGAGGTCCAGATAATTCATTAAGTAGTAATGTGTCAAATATATATACTGACTGCCTACAATGTGCACAGCACTGTACTAGATTTTGGCCTGGAATCCCATAGCTGAGAAGAAGGAAGGAAGAAAACAGGCAAATCTAATGCAACATAGACAATGGTACTATGCTGAGGTAGGGAAGAGGCTCTAAATCTCAAGGATAATGAATGGACTCTCATCCAGAGTATCTAATATTGATATTTGAATTATAACATCTTAGCAATTATTGTCTCATTTTTCCAAAACAGAACTTTCAATGACTCAAGGAAAGCCATAGAGAAGATGCCACATGAACTAAGGAAATGATTGGGTTGATCCTGGGTATGAGAATGGTGTGAAAGAGCGAGGGGATGTCTAATATAGAACAGATCATGTAAAGACATGTTGGGATGAAATAATGTGTTTGAAGACACAATGATATTTCCATATGGTTAAAGAACAAGGAGAAGGAAAGTACTGAGATATGAGGCTAGACAAGTTGGCATGGATTAGGACAAGAACTTTATTCTGGATTTGGAGAATCACTGAAAGATATGAATGATATGAATAGATTTGTTTTCTGAAAGACTTTCTTAGGCAATCTGGATGACAAACCCAGATACTAAAACTTTTAATAATAAAAACAAAAGAAACTAAATGCACAGAAAGAAGAGCAGACGTGAGAGAGTTGAGGCGGAATTAGGAGATATGAGTTGATGACCAAATTTGAGAGAACAGAAAGGGAGTTTCAGGAAGCTATATAATTCCTAATGTTTGGTTGGGGTGACATTAATCCAAATAAGAACTTAAGAGAAGGATTCAGGCTTTTAGCTTTTAAAAGGAGGTAGAGATTGAAAGAAGAGAATAAGTTCAATTTTAGACATATCCAGTTTAAGGCAATGCCCAGTAGGTAGCTAAATATAAAGTTCAGAATGGAGATATAGATTTGGAAGTCATCAGAATGGAGGTGGTGATTTTAATCATGTGAGTAAATCAGACTTCTCATAAAAATATGGACATGAAAAGGTGACAAAGGATAGAAATATAAAGAAAGTCAGCATGGAAGAACAGATAGAGGAGAAGGAGCATCCTCTAGAAGGATGCAGATTCAGTGTGAATGGAGATGCCAGAGGAGGTTCAGTGCTGTGGAAGGTATGGGTGGAAACTATTTCAGGAAGGATGGAGGGGCAGCACTGTCCTTTGCTGCTGTCAGGCCAGAGAAAGTCTGAAAGTCAACTTCTGCCTAACCATTGGATGGCTATTGGTGATCTGTGCCAGATGATCTCTGTGGAAAACTGTGAGTAGAAGATAGGTTTCCATGGATTAAAGTTGAATATGTGGATGAAGAAGCAAAGAGCTGGGAAATAAACCACTCTAGGAAGGAGACAAGACCATTGCTGTGCTTAGATGCCTTGAAGCTGGTCTTCTCGGGCCACTTTGCTCATTAGCAGGTCCAGTGGCTGTGTGTGATCATGAACCTGA